AGACTGAGAAATGCAGAAGATACTAATGCAGTTTCTTCTGTTATAGGATCTTTCTGTCCCTCAATTTGCTCCTCTGCCCCATATCTAGTGAAGTGCACTTTTCAGTGGGAGCCATATCACATCTGGATTTGCTGAGTGTGCATCCCTGTCAACAGGCTTTCCTCCTGAAATCTGAGGCAGAGGTTTTAGTTCTTGCACCTGCACAAAGCTGACGTGTTCACAGCTAAATGACACAAGAGCATGCGATGACAAGACACCCTTTTTCTTTGTTTGTTTTCTCATCTTTAGCCTTGAATATAAGTATAAGCCCTAAACATAATACTTACAGAAGTCTGTTACAGAACATGCAAAGTAGAACAGTCTGCTTTGGCTGTAATAATCTGAAAGCATCTGGCAATCATTTACAAGTTTCTATTACATAAAAAAAAATCCAAATTTTCTAGGACAATGTTAATTTATTAAAGAAGTTTGGGAATTAAATCAGGCCTGATTTTTACATTGTGATATTTACACTGTGAGCTGCTTTCCACCATTATTTCTTCTACTTTCTCCAGCAAACATTCAGAAAATGTTCAAAAGCTTTCACAGCAGTATTACATAAAGCTATCAATTTAAACAATAAAGGACAAAACAGGCTATTACAAAATACACGATCCCAGGACTGTCACACAAGTTCCCATCTGAAAATAAAAGCCCTGCCCCCAAGCTCTTCTTCACAGAATGGCTGACATTGGAAGGGAGCTCTGGACGACATCTCGTCCACCCTCCTTGCTCAAACAGGGTCACCTACAGCCAGTTGTCCAGGACCATGTCTCTAAGGAGGGAGACTTCACAAGCTCTCCAGGCCACCTGTGTCAGTGCTTGGTCACCCTCATGGTGACTTGTGCTTTCTTAGCCTTTCCAAACCAAGTTAAACTTCTACTTCTACAGAAATTCTCCACACTTTCCTTGTTTTTAACTGAATTTGAATTGAAAGACATGAGGCATTGGGACAAGTGAAATACACTTGAACACAATTTTAAGATTTTATTTCTTTACTGCAAAGGTGGTCAAATACTAGAACAGGTTGCCCAGAGAGGCTGCAGAGTGTCCACCCTTGTAAATATTCAAAACCCAACTAGAAAAGGCCTTGAGCAACCTGCTGTAATTAGAATAGAATATTTCAGTTGGAAGGGACCTACAATGACCATCTAGTCCAACTGCCTGACCACTTCAGGGCTGACCAAAAGTTAATAACATACTTTATTAAGGGCATTGTCCAAATCCTCTTAAATACTGACCAGCACAGGGCACTGAACACCTCTCCAGGTGACTCTACTTTGAGTAGGGGGACTGACTAGATGATCTTCCAAGCTCCCCTTCCAACCTCAAATGATTCTGTGTTTCTATGACATCCTCAAAGCTGGAAACGTCTTTGGCAATAGCCATCTCATCGTTTGGTCCCCTCCATTCTCTCTTTACATGCTACTGATACAACACCACTAGCAGATACAAAAGGACTATTGCAACAGAATAACTCAGCAAGGACTTGATGTCTTGCTGCTATCCAGCTCACGGTTTTGAGCCAAGAAATATGCAGTAGTTTTGACAGGTGAACATTAAGACTCTCTAATTAGACGGAAACTGTAAATCTTGTCTCACCTTGTTCAGTAAAATTTTGCAAAGATGGTCTACTCTGGGAAACAACTAAGTATTTTTGACATTATATTGTATGTTATTCTGAAGTATTTTTATGATGTACTTGTTATTTTTCTGGTAATTCTCCTGGTGACAGTAGGTAAAACAGGAATAATAGTGTTAGAATGAACACAAAAGCTACGTGCTCGCTCACTGCAGGCTGGCACATGACTAGTTGAAAGCATATGCTGGGAAATCATCTGAACATTTGTCTACTGAAAAGAAGCATCTTTAGTATCTGAATTTGTGTCATACAAAAGCACTCTAGTGTTCACAGGCTGTCATCATGACTGAGCAAAAACCAAGATTTGTGAACTAACATACTCAGTAATGACAACTTTACTGGTCCTACATTCCCTGCCTTCCTAACAAAGGCTATTTTTCTAGAAAGAGGTGAAGGCTTCACTGTCACAACATGGAACTAAGCAGCCAAAACCAAACTCTTGATCAGGATTTTTAAAAATCTGAAACGTTTTCAGAAATATTTCTTTCAATACTTTGCCACAATCCTTTGAAATGTTTTTTGCTTTCCAGAAAATTTTCAAGCTTAGTACACTAATGAGTGCTTCTACTTTTAGTTTTCAAAGCAAAGAGCTTTTTAAGAAACCTCAAATTATTCCATGGCTCTCATTTTTTTGAAGATGCATTAATGCTGCATATTTAGTGAGCACACATTTGTCCACGATACATCACTATGGATTCATCTACACTAACATAACTGTCTAACTTTGTACCTTTGCGTTGCAATGCTTCTCTTGCTGTCAAAACACGTCAGGAACACGGTTTCAGTTGCGTAAATAAACAGAACTATAATCTTGATGTTTACTTTTCCTAACTACTGATATCAAAAAGTTCATACTCAACAGCAATGGCAACAATTTAGTTTCTAAATTTTCCGTCCAGTCTAGCACTTTTCTGCAATATATTTTACTTGCAATACACTTTACAATTATTTTCAGGAAATTACTATCATGTAAGTGTAGAAAAATATCAAGAACTGAAAAAAGGTGCGAGTATCAAATGAATCTTAGTGACTTCTATGTTACTTTTATTTTAATGTAACAGAAGCGAGCCTCCAGAAACATTAGATCATTTTGAAGTACTTTGGAAAAATGTCCAACTAAATTTGTGCACATGGTTGTAGACAGGACAGGAAATAGGTCTCAAGAAACCCATGGTTGTACTGCTTCTTTGTTATTTAGAGTCTAAATTAGGATCTCTAGATTTTACTAACAAAAGATGCACTCTTAAGAAAGCTACCATTAAATGCACATTATAACTTAATATTTTAATTATAAAAAATGTGCTGTAATCAAGTCTATATGCAGCTCACGATGCAAACACACATGTAGTCTCACTCACCGCTGAGGGAGAAGTCTGTCATTGGCTAGATAGCCCAGTTTATGTATCTCCTTACTGTAATCTCCATACTTGGACTGGACAGCGTAAGAAGCCAGAAGAACCGCAGTTTCTGGTGGGCAATATATTTCATCATTTAAGATCGCTTCTTTGACTTGCAGGAAGAAAAGTCTCTGAGTTATTTCCTGAATTAATTCTTCTGATACATCCTCTGGAAAAAACTTGGCTCTGAACTTAAACTGCAAAGGATTTTCTTTCCTTACATCTTGCTGTGTTACCTGAGGGAGAGGAATAAAGAAACAAATAAAAAGAGCACCAATTGATATATTAAATATAATTAACTCAGCAGT